CCCTCAGTATTAGCTCTGGTGAGAAACAATGGATTATGATGTCAGTCATTTCTTTATCATTCTGTCCACATAAATGTTGAAGGTACTTGATCTCACAGCATGGATAGGACTATCACAGATTGCATTCATACACATAAAGGAAGCATACTTCTGTGAATAATCATTTAGTGATGAAATGTTATTACTTTGCATAGTAAGTTGCACTTAGCATAGGCCCACTGCATCAGTGGAAGTCACAGAGTTACCAAAACGTACCAAATCTCTGCCTTCAGAGATTCACTGGCCTTCTCCAGTTGCAACAATAGGATTTCAGCCACTCTAAATGCAAACTTAATTGATAATTTATCTGTTGATTAACTAATACTGTGATCTGCAAGGATCTTCAAACATGCTTAGAGTGCAGCCCTGTTTAAGAGGTAGCTGAGTGATGGATCCCTGGTCTCTTGCATCATGCCCTGGGATCTTGGGGCACCTACTTTGTTTTCAGTTGACTGCCTAACTTACACATCAGGTGAAACGGATGCAAAAGTTAATTTGGCTTTGATCTGACTTTTCGTTAATTAATGGTGAATTTTTTTCCCCCAACTTTTGACAGCTGTCAAAATCTGACAGCTCCATTATTTCCTATGGGGGAAGAAAAAATTCACAAAAAATTAATGAAGACTCAGCAACTGTTCTAAATTCTTGGGTTCGTTAGAGGACCCCCTAAGTTGTGTGCAAACCTGATTTGGCTTTGATCTGAACTTTCATTAATTTATGGCAAATTGTTTTCTCCCCCATAAGAAAGCATGGAGCTGTCAGATTTTGACAGGTCCATTGGTTCCTATGGGCCGAAAAAAAAATTCACCATTAATTAACGAAAAGTCAGATCAAAGCCAAATTAACTTTTGCATCCGTTTTAGAGGGTGCAGAAGTTAATCCAAGCATTTAAAACCATTTTGACCCTTTTATGACACACTTAATTTTGCAAAAATTGACTTCGCAAAGCCATTGAAACATATTGAGTCAGCTACAATACATTCCAATGGAGGATACATTGTATCGTTTAACCATGTTTCCTATGGGTTTTTCGCTTAAGGACGGCAATCCGTGCCTATTGGAACGGATTAACCGGTTTCCAATGCATCTCTATGGGAAATGGTGTTTCGCATAAAGTTTTTTTCGCATAAGGTTTTTTTTTTGAACCAATTAAAAACGTTATGCGAGGCACCACTGTATATTTAGTCATTTTGTTTGTAGTACTATATCATGTCTTTTGTTTTATATGTTTAGTCCATACTTTATCATTTGAGTGGCTTTACATGTGAGGTCCCTGTAAATTTTAAAGAAAAGGCTAAGAGTATGAGAATCTAGGCTTGTGTTTTTCCCAGGATTTTACATTTTACACCCATTTCTCTTGGAATTTGACTGCATAGATAATTTTGTTTAGGCGCCTTTTTAAAAAAATGTACAAGGCTTATGTTATTACTCATGGATTTGCACATTAGGAAGATATAGCCCAATTCCCTGCATCTTGTCGTAAAGAGTTAAGATTGTCTCTTAGTCAACTGGCCAGCTGAAATATGGATGTCCCTTTCTGGTAGGGTAATTTTCTTTTTATAAAAGACACACAAACTTGTGTTTTCATGACCTAAGCATTCTTACAGGCACACAATATTCTTTTATTGAAAGGTGGTAAAAGCTGCTTAGCTGTTAACAGTGACAGAAAAACTATCAGCTCTTTATCCCCCAGAGAATCATTAGAAGTTTATATATCACTGTGCTGGATTTGACAAAACAGATTTTCATCCTAGATTACCAAACCTTGGCCTTCTCAAAGGCCCCCCTGCTTTGCCCACCTCGAATAGAAGTCGAAGTATAGTAGCATATTTAAATTGCTGCGCAACAAGTAGGCAACGTGTACCAATTCTGAATGAATAGCATCACTGGTGACCCCATGGACCAGAGCACGCCAAATTGCTGCGCAACAAGTAGGCAACATGTACCAATTCTGAATGAATAGCATCACTAAAGAACTGTGGCTTTTGGGTAGAGTCCTGGCAAATTACAAAAGCATTATTGGAGGAAGAGAGGAGGAAGCCAGGATGCCATTGCTCCCAATGTCTGGTTCCTTTTGTTAGGGATTAAATTAATTAGAATGTGTGCTTCTTGATGCTTGCCCTTTCCCTTTGTTTGCCTTGCTTCCCTTAGTGCTCTTGGCTTTCCATACTGTGTATTGGCATACTCTCTCAGGAGTGCTCAAAGTAAATCCTTTCCTTTCAAGGCCGCCTGAGTTTGCTACTGTTTGTAAGTGTGTAATAACAGCATTGCCACCCCAAACTGGTCTGTACCCAAACAAGGGCTCACAGTTTGATGCCCAATCCATCCTGTTCCCTTTTTAGAGACATCCTGATCTGGTCTTGTTTGGATCACGGATGATGTTTCTTTCCAGGACTCTAGTGGGGGAAAACCCATTTCTGCAAGTGGGAAAATGCAGATAGCTATAAATAGGGAGGAGCTCCGGTATTATTTTTGACAGAATTATTTGCCCAGCACAGAAAACACAAAAGAAAAGAGGAACAGGAGACCGTTGTGTTGAACTTTGCTGGTGACATCATCTTGCCAGCTAAAAGGGAGAAACCAAAGGGTTTGAAAGACAGACTCCAGCATCCTAAGCTGAACCATTTAAAATCCATAGAGCAAAACAAGCAGGTGTGTGTGCTCACATTCACACACATTCAGTCCTGCTAGTGTAAAAGGAGGGAAGGATGTGAGAAGGCAAAGTCTGGGCAACAGAAATCTCTCATCTTGCACTACAGCTAAAAGAGATCTGCTGCAGCTCACTCAGTGGCCTTCAGTGACTGGCATATGGAGGAGAGACTTTAAGGTTTCAGGGGTGTGTGTGTTGAAACTGTCAATCCCCTCCTTGATGCCTATTCAATCTCTTCCTTATAAGCTTTTTTAAAAAAAATGTTAACATTTAAAATCCTTCAAATGCTGGATTTAACACGAGATCTGTGGGGATGGGCACAAGGACACACTGACCCATTAATGCCCCTGAGCTCTTTGCTCTGCCTCATGGTTGCCTAGCAAATGCACAAGTATCAGTCTGAATTTACACATTTGTCAAAATATAAATTGACTTTTGTCTGTTGCTCTTGATTCGTGTTAGAGGAATAGAGTCCCTTCCAGCAGTATAGTTCTAGTTGTTGTTGCTGCTTCTGCTGTTGTCAACCCATTTGATCCTCCATCATTCCTGTTACATCTATAACAACTCTCTTTTTCACCACTGTGTGTGTGTGTGTGTGTGTGTGTGTTTGGTTGGAAGGACAATACATAACTCTTTACCCAGTAATGATTGTGATGCTGCAATCTTTAAAAATATACATGATTTCTCCTCCTCAAATAACTGTAATTTTCTCATTTTAAAACACTCCAGCACCATTTACCTGTAGATGCAACTTAGGTTTAACTTCCAAATGACCAGTGCTTTCAAGGGTGACAGCAGAGTCATTGGGGAGTAGATATGCTTCTCTGGAGCACATCCTTCAATGCTGTGAATCATGCCTTCAGTTGCCTTCAGCTGCATCTGCGACAAGTGCATACTATCAAAGTCCCTGTATAAATAATGCTGTTTATGTTTATAGCAGCCTTTCGCAATTAATGCCCTGCAATTGTGTTTTGGAATGCAATTCCCATCATCCTCCAGTTGGTATGCCAGGTGGTAGCTGGAGTATCAGAGTTGTCATTTGACACAGCTGAACAGCACAAGGATTGGGAATGCTGACTATAGCCGTGGGCAGCACATGCTTTTTGAAAGGTTTATATTGAGATTTTTTGTTTGTTTCTTTTTACTTAGGATTTTCCAGAATTGGAGAAGAGGGATCCTCAGGAATTAGTTGGTGAGTATGAACAAAACTGGTATGTTCCTGATTATTTAAAAACATATGTAAATTTTATGCTCTTTTTGGAAGGTCAGTAGTATAGTATGAGTACTATGCTGAATGTTCATCAAATTTGATTTTCCTGGCAAAAGATGCAATTTAATAGAACTCAGAGACATACACAAAAATCACTGCTCAGCGTGCTTCTCTTTTGCTTTTTATGCCTGTCTTAGACATTGTTCCCCATCATTCTGACTCCACTGCCTACATTTGGGAAAGACTAAGTCCTTCCTGTTTGGGGATATATATCCCATTAAAGTAATGCTATGGAGAAGGGTGACATTTATTATTTCAGTGCATCTGTTCTTCATCTTCACATTACTTCCAGTGGAAGGCCTCTGCAGTAAGAAGATTTTTAAAAAAATTTCCTGAGACTCCGTCCCATTCCAAAACATTTCACCCTTTTTGAAAATTTGTTCTGGAGATGGGAGATGCTCAACACCCTTGAGCAAATGATCTACAAGGCAGTTGTACAAAGGCAGAGAGGATACCTAAGCTGCAAAATGCATAGCCAGATCAGCTGATTCTGGAACCACCATGGAACTGTTGACAGAATTCATAAGTCAAAATGAGGCTATTTCCTCTGTAATATAGACATATCCTGATGGTCATATTTTTTTGTGTCTGAAACATTCCAGCGAAGTATGTGTCTCAACATTTTTCCGAGCTATATGTACTTTTGAAGATTTATCTATTGAGTTTCAGAAATCATATAAACATTAGGTGTTAAAGTTGGCTCTTCATAACATTATTAAATAGGTTAATCTTATATTTTTTATGTAATGCTGAAAGGGATAATGCCAGGAAAGGTCAGTCCTAAATATCCAGAGTTGAATTTTGTTCCTTGTCTTACCTACAAACTCTGCCATTAATTGCAGAATACTGTATGTTACTAAGTGAAAATAAAATATGATAAAGTCTACATAATATCTAGGAATGTTGTGTCATAGAATTGTATCAGTATAATTGGGACTGGCAGCAACATTTATCAAGTGCTGCTTTTCAAGATACTCCATTCCAGTCCTCCCAGACTTGGTTTCCTGGTTTGTGATTTTTTTCCTAACAAGCTTGGACATGTTCCCTCTCACAGTTAGAAACAGATAGGCTTCTTTATTGAAAGTGTCTACACTTGTTTTAGCTTCCCATAATTTCACCACTTAGGTAAATTCTTTGGCAGCTACTCTTGTTTTCTAATGCCAGCTTTTCACTTCTCACACTTGGTAGAAATTAATTGGTTCGTCTTCTGTTAAATAGACATTCTACTGGAGCTGAAAGCTGGGTTGAAAACACATATGAAGAACATGGATATGAGCTTTCTGATGCCCCAGGAAGCCCTAACCATTTTAATGTCCATATGATCAGCCATTAAATCACCTATATCTAAATTATCCCAAATAAATAGGTTACACATAAGTCCATCTCATCCAAACTCATTACCCAGATCAAATTAATATAAAACTAGTCCTTAGTCCATTTGTTTTCCATGCTCAGTCAAATCAAATGCCAGTGTTTTCTCTCTGTTAGCTAAACTATATACAATTAGATGGCATGATTTTGAAGTCTTCTCATTATCTGTTTCCTAAAAACACCATTTATCCAAACATGCCTGCCCCTCTCCAATCCTCTTTTCTTTTGGAATATCTTTCAAATGTCCCAGCCTCCCTCCCAAGTTATCGTACTGGCCTTCCCCTGCCCAAATAAGTGTACCAAGCATCGGTAGTCCTCTCTTCATTCATTTTAATGTATTTGAGTGGTTGGGCACAACGCCAACTGACATCCTCTCTTAAAACCACTCATCATCTTAATTTCCTAACAGTTCCTCTGTATCAGGGTTGCAGGAAAGACAAAGGAGTCTAAAAGCTGCTATCAGTAAGGAAACAATTATGTGAACACACACATACTGTACCCAACACACTCTTGCTTTGCCCTGCTTTCAGCAGGCAAAGAAGGTGTTTATACCATCCTATCCCCTGCATGCTGGCTCAGTATCTCAGTGAGTTAAGTTTCTGACTGCAGAGCCAGAGGCTGCAAGTTCAGTTCCACACTGTACATCCCAGAAGAGCCGGCCTATGTGTCCTTGGGCCGGCTGCACTGATGCCCAAGGCTTCTCTAGAAGAAGGGAATGGTAAACCATTTCTGGATACTCTCTATCAAGCAGTGATATATTGGTCCCTTTAAATCTGATCGTTCAGAGCTGCTCCAGAAGAGAGGTCTTTTTGATAGCCTATGTTGCTGAGTCCCTGGCTTTTACTTGCAAAGATGGCGTGTGGCAGTATGTTGGCCATCACTTATGAATGGCTTCATTGGTAGTCTCCAAACTGTTATCTCAATGACATTTTTCAGTGGTTGCAGTGGGAAGGGAAGAGCTTCAGGAAGTGAGGGTAGAATATAGAAGTGTTACAGGTTTTAATTAAAACCTGGTTTGAGGAAAGATTTTAGAGGTACAGTACAGTATATGTATTACTGGTGGTGGCGTATTTTAGTGATGCACCCCCAGTTTGATTTTGATATTAGCTTACTGATGTATGTTCTCTCTACCTTCAGTTGCCATAGTGAAACTCTTAGTCAAAACCATAGCTGCAAGGTATAGATAATTATTTACTTCACGAGGCAGTGTTTGGGTGTGCCCATGATGGTGAATCATTCCTACAGTGAGCCAACTTCCTGCATTCCCGGTGTGGTGCTCTTTTTAGGCTGAAAGCCAGCAAGCATACACCCAATCAAAAGTTGCAGCCATTGTCCTTGCACTGGCTTTTTACTGGTGCGAACATGAATTCTGATCTTTGCAGAAACAACAGGGTGCAGAACACATACATAATTATTGTGCATGGCTTTTTAGGAGGAAAAATGTAAAGCAGAAGAACAGTAGATGTCATAAACACAGATAGAGTCCTTTCTTTAAACTGTACTGACATGACAGAGCAGGCACAGTTCAGCTGTATTAGTTTAATTGCATTTATAAATGAAGCTTTTAGGCAGTTCTTACCATTCTGCTGTGATGTAAGACACGTTCCTACAGCCTTAGTTTCTCTGTAAAGGTTTGCTTGTCACGAAGAAAAACAGTAACCCTTGAAATTAGTGGGGATTAAAGGATACAGTGTCATTTTATACAATTGTTTCTTGGGTGTTTTAAAACTATTTCGTTACTTTTCCTGCCTTTATTTTAAGAAGCACATTTCTGTCAACCATATCCTTCCTGCTGCAAATCTGCACATAGACAAGTTGATAGGTGTTCTGGTCACTGAGAGAGAGTGACAGTGGGGTGAAAAGTACATAGGTCTCAATACTAAAATCTCCAGACATGTACCAGACAGCAAGGTTTCAGGGCAGTTGTTCCCAGCTGTGGGTCCCCACATTTCCTTGGACTACAATTCCCAGAAATCATTGCCAGTACAGCTACTGGTGAAGGCTTCTGGGAAATTTAGTTCAAGAACATCTGGGGACCCAAGGTTGGGAACCCCAGCTTCAGGGGAATCTGTATAATTAAAAATTGTAAACCGCCCGGAGAGTGCTTGTAGCGCTATGGGGTGGTATATAAGTCCAAAAAAATAAATAAAAATAAATAAAATAAACATCTGGGGACCCCAGCTTCAGGGGAATCTGTATAAGACACTTTATCTTGCACACTGAGCTCCATCATGCTCAATAGAAGGAGCCTGGAAGACTTCTAGAGGCAAAATGTCAACCTCTTTGTGATCAAAGGAGCTGATTATTTGAAATAGTGCATTTAAAAAGCACACATAAGTGTACACTGTAGGACCAAATGATTAAAAGAAAATGGTCTTTGTTGTTTAGCCGTAAAGGTCATCCTTTCAGCAGCTACTTCTTTGCCATTTCCCTAAACTTCCACCCCAGCCACTTTCCTGCTTAGAATGGCATTAAATCCTAGAGCTGCCTAATGAGGAGCCTTAGGTCTGATGTGTAGATGGGTTGAATAAGCTTCAACCCTGTGCTCCTTATAAATCTGTGACAAAGGTGGGTAGCCTGTTGAATGTTTTGCCTTCATGAATAAAAAAAAAAAGTGTTGCCTTTCACCTATTCTCCAAAAAAACATGTTTTTGTTTTGTTCCTGTTCCCTTCCTGATAGTTGTAAAATTCTTAATTAGAAACCATGCCTCCCTCACACCACTGGCTTGGTAACCCGTTACAAGTCTGTAGCTTGTTGTCAAGGGGTACTGGAGCCAGACTTTGTTTCTCTGGGGATGTTGGCAAGATTTCTGTTCTTTATAGAAGCACATTCTTTGGAAATGCCAAAGGACATTTCTTTGTTACTTGTGACTGCTAGAGAATTTAACCCTAAAGAGCATCCTGATGAAGCAGCATTGTTCATGTAGGGAGGGAAAGGGAATGGCTCAAATGATAGAATAGCCAACACATTCTCAAGTCTGGCCAGACAAGCTAATTTTGAAATTTAACTGAAGTAATAACCTTTATTCAGCCTATGAAAAAGGCACGAAAAGGAGGCTGTAACCTTTGAGAGCAATGGGAACGGCAGTGAGTTGAACGGGGATTTTTTTTCAATGTTTCCTTGCATTCTTTGGGGTGATTCTAAGTGAAACGTAATACCATCACATCATTTGAATCTGCAGGTGTTTTGCTTCTCTGTTATTTTACAACACAGAGACAGGAATACTTTTGTGATCACTCTCCATCCTGTTTCCCTCCTTGCCTGCCTTTAGATATATTTTTGCCTGGTGAAGTCCACTCATTTTTCCATATAACCAAGTTCTAGGGTAATTTTTTAAGATGAGTTTATATAGCTCCATCTTGAACGTTGTATTTATTCATATTTGCAGATTGCCTTGCCTGTCAGAAGGCTTGGGACAAATAAAAATGAAATTGTAAGAGAGATAGCAAGATGCAGGACTTTTCTTGACATCTGGTGACAAACTCAAGAGCTAGGCCTGTATGGGTCAAAGCCTCCCTTAGCATTAACTGGAAGCAGATGGAGGAATTTAACTACTTTGGGGCTATAATGCATGCCTTCAGTTACTGGAAAATATTTCTGCCAGAAGAAGCATCCTGCGATTGATGTAAACAGCATTGCCCTGAAACAAGGAAGGTTCAGTTCACATTGCTATTAAGAATAGCAAAATGCAATGAAAAGGGATGTTCTTTCTTTCCACAGTGATTGCCTGCATCCAAGCCTGGATTTTTTAATAGAAGCAGCATGTTTGAACCTCCAAGCAAAGCCTTCTATTCACAAACAGGGCACTGTCTGAGTGTTTCAGACAAGACTGAAGGCAGTCTGGTGCCAAGGGAAAGGGACAAATGTGCAGTACACAGCACACAGTCTTGGAATAATATTCCTCGAGGTGTAGCCGTATTGTATACTTGTAAGATGCCCTGAGTCTCTAATTATCTCCATCAGAAGCCAAGATGCTTTTAAGAACAACATGCGGACACTGTTGAATATTAGCTTCTGCCCTCATTTTGGCATTGGTGATGCATTTTTTTAAAAAGGAATGTGGCAGCATATAACTGTGTAGCATGGTTGTGATCTCATTGGAGAGTTTTTGAAAAGTGTTGAGGTCTTTGATAAAGTTAGTCTCTCACTTTTAAAAATTGTATTGGCCCCCTAATTGTAGTAGAAATCCTGGAAGATGTGCCAGCCTTCATGCCCATTCTGAAGGCCACACAAAGATTATAAGCAGCAGATTTGGGATATAGGGATAACAATGTTAAGGTTTTGGGTTACCACTGTTGATTGCAATATTGCCTGGCATGGGGGCATTGGCCACATTTCTTAGTGCCCATGACTCTAGCTTATGGCAGTCCTTTCTAGAATTTTCTAGTATATAGTACTTAGAAGTAGTTTTACCATTCACTTTTCTGGGATCCTTCTAGAATTTTCTAGTATATAGTACTTAGTAGTTTTACCATTCGCTTTTCTGGGATCCCTCTGGGACTATGTAGCTTGCCCAAGGCCACACAGGCTGGTTCTTCTCATGGGAGGTGCAGTGGGGAATCAAATTCTCAACCCTTGGCTCTGCCCCAGTGTGCTTCAACTTGCTGAGCTGCCCAAACAAGAATAGGGGTAGAAAATTTGGCAGATGCTTTCTTTTCTCTTCCTTAAAGATTTCATATTTATCTTTGAAGCCGTGAATCTGGTACAGAGTAGTAGGCAGGCTTTTCACCAGCTGCATCCAGTTTCCTGCACATCCATCTCTCCACATGTACACTGTTCTCACTTCAGAAGTGTTGACAGCAGTGGAATTTCTGACATACAATCAGAGTGTAGCTAATGTATATTCAAGAACTATGGCTGGATGAAATCTCTTAATGCTATATGTTAATCTAATGTCCTTTTCTCTTTTTTCAGCTTCCTTCTCTGAACGAGTAAGAAACATGTCACCTGATGAGATTAAAATCCCCCCAGAACCTGCAGGCAGGTGTTCCAACCACTTACAGGTTAGTCTCTTGATCTGTCAAGTTCCGTGTTCCAACCACTTACAGGTTAGTCTCTTAATCTGTCAAGTTCCTCATAGAATCATGACGTTGGAAGGGGCCCTCATAGAATCATGATGTTGGAAGGGGCCCAGAAGACCATCAAGTCTAATCCCCTGCTCAATGCAGGAATACAAATCAAATAATATCTACCGGGTGGTTAATTTCTCTTGAATGCCTTCATTGTTGGACCACTCTATTGAGTTTTCTATTAAAAAATTATGTCACTGGGCTGACCTTAGCTTAAGATTCCATAAAGATTGGTTGTGTTTGTTGTTTAGTCGTAAATAAATGCTTTATTTTAGCTTGTCATTAATAGCAGCTCGACCAATCATGGTTGGGTTTGGTGAACTTCAGATGGAACTATACCAGGACAGTGTGTGGTCTGCGCTGGCTTCCCCAGATAAGTGCTAAATGTGATCTTAAAAGTAAAAGATGAGTTGTATGCTGCAAGTTGGCCCTTCTTTAATGGTGCCTATAACACACTTGATTGGAGTGTGGCATAGGTTGCACAGCATGACTTCCCAATGCGAAGGAGCTGTTCATGTACACTGCTCCCAAACTTGCTGCTTTATTAATTTTGTCACTGGCTTAAATCCAACATGGCACACTAGATTGACAACACTTATTTCCTTTCCTCACTCACCTGCAGCCCTTCAAGAAAAAACTCCAGAGTGTTTCCGGGGCCTCCAGGGCAAGTTTTTGAGGTGCATAAAGCTGCAGTGGGAAGGGAGATTCTTCCCTTCCACTGGATTTTGCAGTTTGGCCAACAGACATCCAGCATTGTTCCTACCCCTGTGACACTTAAGAAAACAGTGCTTCCTTTGAGTCAGTGGTACCTATTCATTTTTATTTCTGCACTAGCTTTGCCCTTTTCATTGTCAGAAAAACGTCCATTGGGTAACACCTAGTTCTGTGCTCCAAAAGTGCAATCATCATCATCATCTTAGAACTGCAGAGCTGGAAGGGACTCTGTATCATCGAGTCCAGCCCTGTCAAAGAAGCACAGTGGGGAATCAAACTCCCAAGCTTCTGGCTCCACAGCCTGATGCCTAAACCACTGAGCTGTCATGAAGAGCTACAATGTATTCCTGTCATGAATGCCTTTATAGGGTTATGTGGGCTGAAATCCAGCAGCACAACTCACAGCGCATAAGGGTGCTGATGTGATCACCATGGCACTGATTTTCGGAAAAGCCACAGCCCTTAATGGCTTCCCCATGATGAAAGGAACCCAAGGAAGTCTCAGGACTTTCAGGATGAGGAGAGAGGAAATCAGAAACTGCTGTGGCATAAATTACACTGCTGGATTTCAGCCACTATCTTACCTAGCAAAGGACTGGATTGAAGAGTTGTACCTACAGAAAGTTGTTTACATTATTTCTGTCTTGTGGTGAAATGGGCCCAGATAGCATTGACTGAAGTATTCCTCCATCCACATAGTGTAGGTGTCTGAATAATAACACAGTGGAATGGATTCAGATTTCATAAATCATTAACTATGGGGATACTTTGATCTTCCTATGCAGAATAGTAGACGTAGTTATCAAATCACTATACTGTGTACAGGTATACACAAGAGGGGGAAGGCAGGAAAAGAAAATGCTGCATGGACTTGCTACTGTAAAGGTGTTTGTATTTTCCCCTATTAAGTCAGCTAGTCATTCAGGTCATGGGACTGTAGTGAGTATCCCTGAACTGCCTCCGTCTCTGAATTTGACGAGATATATCACAGCACAGTGTACTGTAATACCTGATCAGTTACTAAGGAGAGAGTTGACTTGAGTGCATGAAAACTGGGTAGAGAGAGGAGAGTTAACTGCATTGAGGAAATGCAGATAGCTAAGTGATGAATAATGATTGCCTGGAAGACAGAAAACAATGCATTCTGTCTGTGAAATCTTGGTAAGCCAGGTAAAACCACTGTAAGTGAAATAATTTCTTCTTTGTTAGGTGCTTCCTGACACATGAATATATCATCTTTATTGTTTGTACTGCAAGGAGATGTGGCGAGAAATTATTTAAAAATGCACTGGTTTGAAAATTACAGTGCTGAGATGGCTGAATCTGAAGAAAGTTTTAAACTTTTGTGTTTAAGGGGAGGAGAACTTCAGTGCTTTCCTCTTTACGTGCAACTGTTGGGCACTGCTTAGTTAAAAGACGAATCTGTCTTTCTGCAGATATTCAGGGAGACTTCGAGGTTTTTTTTACAGACCTCCTAGATGTATATTTCATTTTACACTCTCTCTCTCCCTCTCTCTCCCTCTCTCTCTCTCTCTCACTTGTTAGTCTTAATGCCGCTGACACTTGTTCGTAGAGTACTGAGTCAGTCCACTAGATTGTTCCCACACAAAATTGCTTGGAAAGTACCACCTTATACATCAGAATGCATACTTTGGATCTATTTAAACCCCTTGTCCTTTCTCCTGCAAGGCAAGAAGTGCCCTGAGTTTATCCCTCTTCCGTGAACAAGTCCAGTGATCTAGTAGAAACCAAGCTTTTGAGTATATGCCATATGTCTTAATCAAAATTTGTATAACAAAATGGGCTTGCTTGTCATATTCTTGTTAATTTTTATTAATGCAACTACATTTATTATTTTCACTGAGTTTGCTGAGGAATACATAGAGTGAATCTGATACTCAGGTTGAAGTGCTTCATAAGGCAGTGCAACTGTTTCTGTAATCCTGCAGAGATCACTGTTACATCCCACAGGACATCAAGCCAAGAAGAAAAGAAAATGAAAAAGACAAAAAGCATTGTGGCACCTTAAAGACTAAGTGCTGTATTTTAATGTGAACTTCTTCAGACATAAGAGTGGGACTATGTGGCAAGTATTTTATACATTTATACATGGCCCCAAAGCAATGAAAGTGTTCATTTCCCTAGCACGCTGATTGTGCAGCGTGCTGATTGTGCAGTGTTTCACACCTGGCAGTAGCCCTTAAGATGCCTGCTTATATTCAGTTTCCCCTAAGCATTGTTCTGTAAAAGAAGACAATGATTGGTGGCTAAATTAATCCCAGGCTATAAGTAACAAGCAGGAACAACATGATATTAAGTATCTTTAATCACCGATGGGGTTTGTAAGATGCTACCAATTAGTTAAGATGGAAAGTCAAATGAGAATTACAGCAGATACAACACAGTTAATTTTTTTATATTTGATAATGGCCTAATAAATTTTGGCAAATATTAAACCTATCTCAGTGGATTCAGTCTTAACAAAATATAGTAATTAGTCTTTAAGGTGCTGTAGTGTTTCTGTCTTTATTTTTCATTATTCATTTGATTTTAGCCTGATGTGCTAACACAGACTAAGATGGCTACTTTTTCTAATACTGGGCTTTGCCTGTGAAACCATGTTCCTAGCTGAGATTTCATGGTTTAGAAAGTAATTCAAAAGCTGTAGCTGTGCTGTACCTAATGAATACAATATACAAAGTCAAAAATTATGTGTATTTTTCTAATAATCATCCCAGCATACTGCCTGGAACTTCCTGTCTTCCAGGAAATTTTTATGTTGTATTTATTCTCTAATTGGATTCCTTAGTGTGATGCCCCTAGAAACCCACATTGCCCTGATTGTGTTGTACAGCACAACAGAACACTTTGACGTCCAGTGAAAAGGTTACTAGATCTCACAAAATGTAGGAGCAGGAGCACTCATGTTTTAAAACCTTCAATTTCTAGCTTTTTTCATTCCAGAAGAAGAAATACACACAGTTTCTGCTAAGCACTAGAAATTTGGAGTGAGTGAGGGATAGAAGTGGCTCCCCGTAATTAGGAAAAAAACAGTATAAGACCACTTGCAGTCAAGCCTGTATGGTATCCCACATCCTGCCAGCATTGATACTGTATATCTGTTGCTCTGTATAATTTTGATCTTTCTTCCCTACTTCTTCCTTCTAAAATTTAATTTCTAGAGACTCTTGGCTTATAATTTCTCATAACATGTTATATTGTTGTATAGCAAATGTAGTAAAATGCATATTAAGAAGTGTATATGCATGTATAAATATCGTTAGAGTTTGCTTAGCAGCTGTGTTAGTTTTGGATGATGTAAATTATACATCAGTGACAGCAATGAAAGAACCATGAAAAGATGTAGAATGGATTTTCTGAATTTCTCTACTCTTTACAAGCGGTGTGCGTTTAGCATTGTTCATGTTCTCTATTCACTTCCAACTTCTGTTTATCATGGTAATTGAGATAAAATGGGAGTTGCTAGGTGGTTTTCTTTCTTTTTCTTACTCTTTTTCTCACCTCCCCTTTATTTTGGTGGTTTGGTGGGGGGTTTTGAATGGTTCTTTCATGACTCACAGGAATCTCAGCTGTATTTGCAGGTTTGTAGGATGATGTGTGCATTGTGGGTTTGGGTTGTCAGACATAATTGTTTCTCAGTCTAGAAGTAGGATCAGCTTCAGTATTCTTGTTTGTCTGTGGCACTGAACTGTAGAAAAGAAACCCTTTTGACATGTATTTTCGGATAACATTGTTCAATTGTCTTGATTCTATGACTTTTTAAGGACAAGATACAAAAATTATATGAGAGGAAGATAAAAGAAGGCATGGACATGAATTATATCATTCAAAGGAAGAAGGAGTTCCGCAATCCTAGGTAAGAATCACTCTGGAAATAAACTGTGTACCACTTGCATTGTCTGCAACTAAGGTAAAGAGTAAATGTCATACAAGCCTCAGAAGTCTTACATGCTTGCTTGAACCCTAAAATAAAATATGACCAAAAAACCCCACAAAATGGGAACTTGAAACATAGGAATTTCCATGAGAGAAAACAAAAAACAGATAATAAATGTCTAGTGCGTAATTTTCAGAGCACTGAAAGTCAGTGCAGAACTTCATCCAAAATCTAATTTGACCCTGAAACAGAGTTCACCAAAGGCTTCATCCTATCTATGAGGATAGGTTTATGATAATTGGTTCCCATAGCAGACTTTGGGATGGGGCAAGGATGGTCCACACATGATTTTCAGTCCTTCCTTCATATTATAAAATCCCCTGCATGTGGAAAAAGCAGGAGAGTTAGTTTTCCTAACATGTTGATTTTCAGTGCTAACTAGGCTTGTCGAAGTTAAATTTGAATAAGACTATGTAACGCTGAAATCATCTCTTTCAGCATCTATGAAAAGCTGATACAGTTTTGTGCAATTGACGAACTTGGCACAAATTACCCAAAGGTGAGTAAATCAAATAATGTTGAGGATTAAATGGAACTAATCACAACTGCTCACCTATTTTCCTTGTTTTTACATTGGCTATGATGGCTCTTGCCACTAAGGTACTGAACAAAATAGCTTCCTACTTTGTGCCATAAGGAAGTGTAGCATTCACCCTTTGTTAGGTATAAGCCATGTATTATTCATGTCTATGCTAATATGGTTGAGAGGCGGAGCCAAGAGAGAGGTTAAAAGGCGGAACCTGAGAGGAGGAGTCAGTCAGTCAGGAGAGAGAGTCAGTGAAAGTTAGGCAGAAGAGATAGAGATAGAGTTAAAGACTGGTTAAGATAAATAGATAGAGAAGGTGGAAATTATATGGCAAGAGAATAGTATGTACCTCTAAAGAACTTCTGTGATCATTAAATTGACTTCACTTTAATAAATAAGTTTTGTTTGCATTCATCATACAAGTCTCTGATCAAACATCATTTATTTTGTGGATTGAGATAATCCACTGGTGGCAGTGAAAGGAAAACCCGACTGGAGCCTTTGTGAGGGCACAAAATGTAGGTGCCTCAAGGAAGTGGTTGTCACAGGTAGTTAGTGTTGTTGCATGAGGAACAATTGCAGTGGAAGCACAGAAATATGTCCTGTACCATAAGAAGCAGTGCAATCTGACCATTTTCCTATTACTGCAATTTGCTTTCCCTCTTAGCAGGAGGAGGCATGGAACTTGACAGTGTTCTTTAAATTTTAAAAGCACTGGATCTGATTAAGGTTTTTAGGAGTGCAACTTCATGATTGTTCTCAGAACCATGTCTTATTTTGATAATGACAGGAGGTTTGTAGTTTTATATGAATTTACTTCGAAAAAAACTGGATGCAGAATAGGTGTCCTCCCTCCCCTTTTTAAACTTCGTGAATTGTGGCTTAACTCCAAAGTTTCAGCAGCTTTCTCCCATCTGAGCATGTCATGCCATCCAAAAATCTGCTCTGGCGATTCCCAGATCTCTGAGTTAAATTTTGAAGGCTTGTAGGAAGAAGAAAATTCCTTTCACCCTCAGCTGCACCGACAGAATTACTTCCTTCAACCAAATTATGCTTTGTATCCTGGTTTGTATATTTTTAAATGTTTACTTTGGTTAACAGGACATTGTTTTCTCTTCTTTTTAGGACATGTTTGACCCCCATGGTTGGTCTGAAGACTCATATTATGAGGCATTAGGTATTTAAGCTTTATTTTGTATACCCTCATTGGTGTTTGTGAAGGATGTTGGAGGTCTAGCAGTTGTTTAGTTAATACGATTGTAATGAAACATTCAGCTAAATAATTGAACTGAAGCAAAATTAGCTGCATGTTGTATGCTGCCTTTCCTTCAAGGAGCTCAAAGCATAGCAAAGTGTGCTGCTTATGTACTGCCCCATAGTGCTTTAAGCAGTTTACAATTTAATTATGCAGGCTCAAAGCACTGTGTGTGGAGTTTATAACCTTCCCCCTTTATTTGGATAAGATGGATGGATGGCTGAAATTTGGGGAACATGTGTTTTTAATGGCAGTAGCTGTGCACTGAAATTATTATTTTTGGAAAGCTTGGGGCACTTAAACTCCAATGGAGCTTCTTAAATGCTGTACTCCTTCTGATCCTCCTCAAATAGGAAGCTGAAATTAGTATTACAACATGGATTCATGTTGTTTAATTTGTTGGGAGTTCTTACTGTCCTGTGCATCTCTCTCTCTCTTCAGCTAAAGCACAGAAAATTGAAATGGACAAGCTGGAAAAGGCAAAGAAGGAGCGAACTAAGGTACCATTGGCATTATGGAATGTAGAGAATTAATTTGTATCTCCAGTGCTTCTACTAAATGTTATGTGTCTCCTTCATTGTTCTTTCATACATGTTTTATTAGCTAAAGTGAGCAAATTAAAAGTGTGTCCTTTCTTAAAGACTTCCTTTGATAGTCCAGCACAAATAGAACCATAGGTACACTGAAAAAGATCTTGATGCATGAATGTGCTTTTAACCTCCTTGTAACAAGACACATTTCCTCCTCATATAATTTATCTTGCCTTGAAGAGAGTTCAAAACATTATTGTTCATTATGAAACCATCCCTTTCCAGATCAGGGGCCTCCAAACTGAGTGAGGGCCACAAGATATGTTTCAGATTTTCAAGGGCTGAATGTACGCCCACCTGAACACACTCCTGACTGCCTTCCATGCAGATAAAATAGCAAGGTGGGCCAGATGTGGCCCATGGGCCATAGTTTGAAGACCCCTGATCTAGATCATAGTGGATTTAATTGGTAAGATGTGAATTAATCTGCATTATTATCCAAATAGTTAAATGTGCATACTGTTATGTTGCTTATTGAATTTTCCTAGAAGCAAACATTTCTGTGGCTAGCCTTTTTAACCTCAGTCACTTAGATTGCCCCTGTTATTCTGCCTTTTGTAAAGTAAATAAAATAAAAGTAAAAACCAGCAAAAATCTTCCACATACGTAATAAAATCATCAGTTTATAATCACTGTTGTGATATCTCTAGTTGCTAGGTTGCCATTTGTAATGCCAACAATTTAAGTCATGCATGTAGAGACATGCATTCTTAGAAGCCTTAATCTTCTTATATTTTAATTATTAAAGAACATTTTCTTTTGTTGTTTAAAGCATCTTAAGGATGTGTCTGTCAGATTGATACTATGTGAGATTAGGAATAATGTACATGTACAGTTCCTTTAAATAGCTTCTCTTGTCTGACAGATTGATACTATGTGAGATTAGGAATACATGTACAGTTCCTTTAAATAGCTTCTGTTGTCTGAACACTGATCAGAAACGATACCAGAAAAATGTTGCAGGCCAGATGGGAACCCCCACGAGCTTCATCATCCCTATCCCACCAGTTTGTCATAGCTGTGTTTTTCATTTATTGAATCCATGGTGTTTCTAGCACAGCCAGCACAAATTTCTCATTCATCATGGATGGCTTTTCATGTATTCCTAATTTTATTAATTAACTATTAGAACTACAGGATATAATTGCTTCATCTTCTTTTCCAGATTGAGTTTGTAACAGGCACTAAGAAGGGGACGACAAATGCTCCCTCTACAACCACCACAACAGCTAGCACAGCAGGCGGAGGTGAGTTAAGCATCCTGATTCTGAGTTCCAGTTCAGTCTCTTCATAACATGTGGAAGCCATTTGCCCTGCCTCCCTTTTGAAATTTAAAGAGAGAAAAATAGGCTGTCACAGGCGGCTGACAGATGAAAACTGCATAAAAGATTTCTAAGCAAGGGAAGGCACCCTTAGTTCAACAAAAAGCTCTGGTTCTGAAACCAACAAAACTGCACATTCTGAGGGAAATTATGATACTAAAAAATTATCTTGTGTAACCCTGGCTTTGGATTTGAGCATTCTTACAAAACTCAACGTACTGCAACAAATGCTGAAAACAAAATTATAGGGGGAAAACACACCACCCACTCAGAACCCTGGTCATCAGAGAGTGGTATTAGCTATACTGATTAGCTTCTCTGCCTATGAAGCTACTGGAGTAGCTGAGTTAAAAGTGAGTAGGGCGTGCAGGTGAATAACAAATTACCCAGTTTTATGAGATGTGTAGTAGAGTATCTGAATCATATGGAGCAAGTTCAATCCTTATCATCTCCAGGGAAAAGTGGGAAGCATGGAGGGCTGCTACCAGTAAACAAGCAACTTGGTGCCCTCCAGGTATTTTTGAAGCCTCACTCTCTCAAGCTGACATAAGTTGAGTGGTTTTTGTAGTCCATACCATCTAAGGGGTGCAGGTAGCCTACCCTGCTGCAGACAATACTCACCTGTGTGGATCTACTGTTTAAGGTATCTTATGCAAGGTAGCTTCCTGTGTTCCTCCCTATTAATTGCCTTCTGGCTTGTCTTTCAAATGGCCGTTTCTGTAAATAGTAGTGCACACAGATACATGTGGGAATTCAACAACTGTAGCAAATAAGCAGAGAACATACTGACAGGTCAGGGGGTAAAGTTTCTGTCAGGCTCATTTTCAAATAGTTCCCTCAGTGAGCAAACTAAATATTTTTCTAGGCTACCTTTACACTTTTGTTGAAAGGTAGTGTAAAACACCATAAACAAACAAATCTTCAGAATGCCATCTTCCATTATCTGTATGTTTACATAGTCCCCTTGAGACTGTCTCACTTCTTGAAGTGAGTGGGAAAAGCACATGGATAGATCGTTCTTGCATGTAAAATACTGCCTGCAGGGGAAGGCAGCATGTGAGAGAGAAGGCTATAGGCTAGTGGAATACTTCTATCATCACACTGGTCTTTCAGTGATAGAGAGCTTCTGATTTGGAGGAATCATTCAAACGTGGGCATTCCCTGCCAGCATTTGGAAGTGGAACGTAACTGCTGAAAATGTCTTTGTTTAGAGATCATTTTTGGTTGTGATTTTAAAAAGGATCTTATCTGACCAGGCTGTTAAAATGAATGCTTGCTTTTTAAATACACAGATGCACAGAAGAGGAAGAGCAAGTGGGATTCCGCCATTCCTGTGACGACAATAGCGCAGCCCACCATTCTCACTACCACTGCAACACTGCCCGCGGTTGTAACTGTTACCACCAGCGCAAGTGGCTCCAAAACCACAGTGATCTCTGCAGTTGGCACCATAGTAAAAAAGGCAAAGCAATGACAGGTGCCCTGAAGAGACCGACAAACACTCTTGTTCCGACTCTTCTGCCAAAAGCATACCACCTTTGGTGGCCAAGGAAGGAAAAGCCCCTCCTTCTGGTGCAAAATCCCCCCTGAAAACCCCTGGAAGTATCTCTTTGAAAATGGAGGCAAAAGGAGCACCTGTTGACTGTTCATGTTCATAGCAGAGTTCCATATAAGAAGAAGCTCTTGATCTTCATTCATGGACTTGCAATACAGTGTCTGTATGTAAAATGTCACTTGATTAATTGTTACAAGAGTTATTAAGTTGGGATCTTCATCTCTGTGACATGAGAGCTTTAATGGAAAGTGACAATGGACTGAAGTCAATCCTGGACAATTTGATATTGACTAATTTTTTTACTCACTTTGCCTACTCCATTCTAGAGAATTACAGGCAAGACTGACATTCATTTTCTCCATGGAAAAATTAAGAGGCATAAGGGTAAATTATAAGTAGAAAAAGCATCATGCAGCTCACACTGTAGTCCTGTATGAGTTGTCTCTGTCTAGTTTCTGTTTCAGGGACTGAAGGTGTGAGTACAGCTGTGCTGCCATTTCCACCAAAGTAATGACAAAGATGCTGTCAATTTAAATTTGTATCAGTTTTCTTACCTGTATAACAACATCTTGAAATATAAATATAAAGTTTTGAGTGCTTGTCATCATACTTCACCATCAACACATCTGCCTTACACTCCAGTCAACTTGATAGGATCCACAAAATGTTGGATTTCATTAAAGGGAATGCAGACTGTTATGAGAGCAAGCATAAAGTGTGAATGTTTCTGCTATCCCAATTCAAAAGAAATTATTCTCATGATGATTGAGTTTTTAGTTCTTTTTTATTTATTTAAGGCACAGCATCAAATACACATTCATTCTACAAGCTTTTGATAGTAGAAAATTGGCAAATCTGTAGCTCATGTGTATAAGTTACCCATGTATATGAGAATACTGAAAAACCTTGAAAGTGTTGTCTCCTTTAAGCCAGAGTTTCCCATTTCATCTGAAATTGAAAGCTCTAAGTTAATGTCAGTAGTTGACTGGCTGGCAAATGAGAGCTTGATCATGGTTAAGATATTTTAAACCGGAGGTGGTCCTTCTGGATGTAACGTAACTTTAAAGAGATCAGGATCAAACTGCTGAAGCCAGTATATGAAAGGGGAATTCTCTGCTTGTTCCAAGATTCTTAAAATAGACTTGGTCTAAAGCAGCCCATGGAATTTCATTAGATTAATTTGCTATTTAGAGTGTTTAGGATTGCAGTTTATTATTAAACAAAGCCAGGCTGGTACAACTACAACTTTCTCCAGAATGTATAATTTAAGATTTTATAAATTTAACCTTGTTGATACGTGGAGCAAAAGGAGTCCCCAGACTGTCTTGGTTATATCAGGGTCTGTCTATTAACAACTATAGCTCCCTATTTTTTGCCCCAAGGATAATCAGTTCCTACACCAATTTAGCTACATGATGAAACTAAAGTGAAGCAAAATGAAGCTGTTTTACCTCCACAGTTGTTCTCTGTTAAGTTTTGATTTCTTGCTGCACTCAGTAAAATGTTCTTCAGGCTAAGACTAAAGAAAACATACTTCCAGAGGTCATATAAAGAGTGCAGCTTACAGACCCCTCGTTGCATAATTGTTCTGGGCTGATCCCATGTTGACTAAAAACATTTTATTTTATGGAAGAGTGCTCTTTATGTTTTTTTCAGATACTCTTGCATGAAAAAATATATTGGCATGAATTCAACAAGCTATGGAAGATTATATATTTGTGTTTTAATATCAGTTCTCAACTCTACTGCTGCCATCTTTGTGTGTCATAAATTGAGATTGATTTTCTACTGCTCAACCTAAATAACTCACTGCTACTTCTTTCCCCCAAAATGGTGAATCTGAATCAGATGGAGATGGTCTTCACAGAAAACAAAGGACAACCTATTATTATATCCTACAACAGAAAAGCCACCTGCAATAGTAGCCTCTTAAGCATTTTTTTCTGAGCTACGATGTACAGTTAACCCCTATTTGATTATAGAATAGAGGACTGAGGTATTTGAAAGAGAACAGTGCCAAAGGTGGAACCTAAAAATGTAAGAAGTAGTGACATGCTGAGACTTAACTATTGCAATGTGTTATGAATAATGGTACTGACAAATATAGCTAAGAAAGCTCAACAGTTTAGGCAGCATTTAGGAGTGCATTGGTAATATTAAGTGTGAGTTTGTACTGTTGTGTAGTTACACATCGGTAGTTATTACTTCCAAAAGCTCAGATCCTCTACAATGTGGCAAAACTCTCTTCCATGTCCATTAACATCAATATAAAACCCCATAAAGGAGATTCATACTACTAAATGTTGAGACAGACCTTTTACCTCATGACCTGTTAGGGAACAAGCAAGCTGGCCCCATCTACCACTGCAGATTTTTCAGAATCTTGTAAATTATTTGCATTCTGGTTGTTTGATTGAAATGTGCCTTAATCTTTTCCTGCTGTTATTGTTCTCCTATTTGTTAACATAAAATCTGTGTCACTTGGGGTGAAGCTGTACTTTAAAAATGTATTTCTTTTTCATAGTGTAGATTTATATTTAGTTTAATTTTGGCAGCTGCTTTGAACTAAGGGGGAAAGCTTGACATAAATTGTTCCTTATAATTCCCCTCCAGCACCAATATGTAACAACTTTTATCCCTGCTGCCATGTTTCTTGGAAGGACACATTCTGGGTTGCTTTCCTTTCCACACCCCTCTTCGGAAAAATGTTTGTTCAGGATTGTTCTACAGAAGTTTATCATACATCGTTTTGACAGCTCACTCCCTTCAAATGACTCAGAACTGCACCTTCTTGGGTCTCCTGGAGAGGTTCAATGATCAGACAAAGCTGCTGAAAGTTAAGCTTGAAGCTTTGTAACCCTCTCCAGACAGGCCCATGGAGCAGGCTTCATAATCTTAAAAGAACCCTAATTAAGGAATAATAGATCCTAGGAGTGGCTTTACCGTTTGAACAGTGTAACAGCTCCTGTTCCCCAGACTGGTGACCGCCAAATGCTCTGAGATAGGATCTAAGCATTAGCCACAGCTAACAAGGGTTACCCTTGCCAGATAAAGTCCAGAGCATTTTGAGATCTCCAGTATGATAAGGGAGAGGCTGGGACTCTTGAAAGACCTTGTGGCTACTATAATTCTGTATCCACATTATACTCTGCCTATAGAAATTGCTGTTGTCTCCTGTCATGTGGCTTCCCCAGCAAACTTGGCATTATCCCCTAGTTTCCATACCCTACAGCAACTGACAGAAACTAAACAGGAAAATAGCATATTTTCCCCTGTTTATCCTGGCCTGCATGTCACTTCCCTTTCTCTGTTGTCTCTTGTGTGGTTTTTCAGGTTGTATGCCCCTTCGGACTGGCATCCATTCACACAGACAGTAAAGCATCTTTATTGTTTCAGCAGTAGCAAGAAATAGCTGGCCAGATGACATATCAAGAGGGGATGAGCTCTAATTCATATATAATGAGTTTACTCTAGTTCATGCAATACGTTCTCACAAACTGAAGAATATTTATAGTATATGAATTGACTATCATTCACTCTTAACTAAGTGAACTCTTGGCCCCTCTATTGGCAGCTTTTTTTTGCAGGTGGTTGGCTATTGTTTATAATGTTTTAAAAATTGATCTGCTCTTGAGTCTTGTTCACAGTTCACAGATACTATTTATGGCAGCGGTCCCCAACCTTTTTCAGTCCGCGGACCAGCTGGGAAAGGCGGGGTACCCACCGCGCTCACGTGCATGCACGAACAAGTGTGCACTCTCTCGCATGTGCAAACGGTGGTGCAGTGCTCCCACAGATGTGTGCGCGCATATGCACAAATGGCAGCGCAGCACTCCCATGGGTGCAGGCGCAAACGGCGGCGCAGCGCTCCCACGGTCGTGCTGGAGCGTGCACGTAGCCGCAAACGGGCTGTGCAGGGGTGAGTGCGTGCCGGGGAGTGGGAGGTCTGTCTCGGCAGCCCAGTCCGGCTCAGGCCATGGACCGGCACCAGACCAGGGGTTGGGGACCTCTGATTTATGGCACTGTTTATTTTACCAATTTATATATATATATAAACTATATTATTAATTTGTTTGCACTTTGCTTGTTCTCCTTTATTTAACTGTTTTTCTCTTTTAAAAGTTCAGATTAGAATTATGTGTATGAAACAAATGGCAATTCCAAGTGTTCTTTCTTGCTTCAAAATAATACTGTAGAGTGGTTTATTTCCTCTTCCTTTCTGCCCTCACATGTTAAGACAGATGTTCTGTCTGTGCCCTTGTTAATCAACTTATCCAGTATTGTCAATTATGAATGTATGTGGGGGCACTCCAGACCTTACTGAGTACCATTGCATTCCCAATACCAGCAAGCATATTGTGACCCTAATTCACAGCAAAGTAATGTAAACAAACACCTGAACAAGTCTTCCCTGGTGCTGGTTATCTTTAACAGGCTATTATTTGTTTGCTGCCTGTAGCCGTTTTGAAGTTGTTATATAAGGTAGCACAGAAAATGTAACAAAATGATTTTTTAACTAACAGCTATCAAACTTAATATTTAAAAAATAATAAATGAGGAATTCAAATCAGTTTAAAACTAGACATGCTATGATTCAAGGCTGTCACAAAATCTAAAAACACTAAAAATATGTAACAACAAAATCAAAAACCCATCCTATGAAATTGAAAAACATCTTGAAATAACAAATTCATAAAAAGAGAGGCATGTCTGAAATATGATGAGGTGGTAATATCTCTAGGTACTGAGAATTCCATAAATAGGGGACACAGTGGGAAAGCCTCCTCTTTCTGCCTGAGTAGCTACACCTCCTTATGAACACACAAGCAGGGACCTCTTCAGCTTTAACTCTCTCATTAGCTACTGTTTGGACCTCCTTTCTCTCCCCTTTTCAAAAGATCATCCTTCCTGTCAGCATGTTGTAACAGCTCCCCTGCGCCAGCACAGCTCTCAAAGCTATATAGTGGAACTAGCAAAAACAAGACACACCCACAGTCTTCAGGTTTACCATTTCTGGTTTAGAAGGTTGCCTAATCTACCTCTTAGAGGTTATGTAGAGGAATCAGTTCAAAACCTGCCCTACTGTGTTCAAACTTTTTTATCCAGTTCCTACGTACTTGTTCTTCTCCACCCATCTGATCACTGACTTAATTGTTAAATTCAGGGCATGCAGGTGCTGCATATCGCCTTTTCCTGGGAGCTGGAACTTCATAATCTCCAGCCAAAGTGCAGAGAAGCACCTTATGCTGTTCAACTCAGTAGCAACTCCTTCTCTAGGCTCAAGTCTAAACACTTTCTGAAACAGAGACAACTGCTAAAATGCTTTTTTTTATACTTCCGTTTCTGGGCCCTAGTCCATTCTAGGCTTTCAGTTTACCTTGGTGAGGCTCAGGGAACCAGCTTTTGTTCATCCTCCATGCCATGTGCATTGTTCAGTCAAACAGCTGTGGCAAGTGCACTGGGGCTATTTGCACCAAGTGCTAGAGCACACAGACCTACCCAGTGATTTTGTCAGCTGGGTCCAAATCCTATGCAAATACCCCATAATGCAAATGCTGCCCAATGGTTTAATATCTCCTTTCTTTTATTTTACA